ATGGGGCATTGGTCACGATATCACGCGTGTAGACCACAGACGCAGTGCAAGCATTCGAATTTCGGGCTTCTGAGCCGTGTTCTTAAAAACCGGGTGAGAGGCCTCCACCATGGCGGCGCCGACCGTTCTCGAAATGCTCCGACAGCGACAGCACCCATGAGTGAACGGGAAATAGGCAAGATATAATAATAATAATAATAATAATAATAATAATAATAATAATAATAATAATAATAATAATAATAATAATAAGCGAAAAAGTAGTATCTGACGAGAAAAGGTTATCGAAAACGGCTTTCAGTTCCCCACAGGAGACACTTATTTGAACATTACGAAAAAAACCATGTTGCACTACAAACTGGGTAGCTTCCCCAATTTTTTTTTCGTAATATACAATGCAGCCTCGTGTCTGTTTAATGGGCAGCGTTCAATGGTCCTGGGAAGCGACGCTTCACCGTATACAATACTGCAATTTTATCATGATGTTCCAGCGAGTCTCTCATGCTTATAACCCGGCGTAGTTCTTGTAACCAGCTTTTTTCTAGAGATATAATTTTTTTCGCCTATTTAACATTCAGTTATGACAGGACATCGTTGCTGCCGCCGATAGATGGCGCGACGTTTACATGCCCCCCCCCCCCCATCATGTCTTAAGAATGTGCGTGCGGAGGTTAAGGACCCGCAAGTAAACTAAACTGTTCCAGAGTCTCACAGAGCAGGCTACCTCACAACTACGTCGTGGTTATGAAACGCGAAACCTCCGAATTTAATTTAACAACACGCTCGAGTAAAACAAAAATAGTGGGTGTAAAAACAATGTACTTAACATAATGAATGTTTTATATAAAGACTCCAAGCTCTCAAGAAATATATCAGCGCGAAACTAGAGAAAAGTGCGAAAATGCAACAAGAGTGAAGCGATGAAATGCCCATTTCGATAGATCTACTGCATCGGGCGTTTGAACGAGAAAAAGAAAAAACAGCTTACAAGGCACCACCGAACGCGGAGCGACCGTCAGAGTGCGTCCGATATTTTACTTGCCACGTTTAGATTGCACGAGGATGCAGAGAACGAGCCCTTAAGATATCTCCCATGTCCCCGGAATATCGGTTAGAAGATTTACGAGAGAGACGAGGGATATTTATGGGTGGTGGCATGGAAGCCAAAAAGAATCGGGAGCGAGGTTGGAAGACTTCGAAACGAAGTAACCCCGAAAAAAAAAAGCCAAGAAAAAAAAAACGGGGGCATTGAAAAGCAAATTTGATGTCACGGAACAAACCAATCTCCGTTTCGTCTCAGCTTATATACCGAATGAGACCTTGGTTTTTAATACGCACAGCCCCAGTTATTTCGCCTTTGTGTAGACGAGCGTGAAACAATATACAATGGTGCCTCATGCACACTACGACTATGTACTATTAAAAGAGCGTTAGACGTCTCTTGTTACCGTAACGCTTTTCTTCCCATTTCGGCCCGCAGTTGATGAATAAACCTATCGGAAGTATTCACCTTTACTTCAAAACAGATGTTTATTACTATTCAATGGAATCAAAGTGACAGCGTCGCCACCGTTCTACGCAATGCGCACATAGAACACTGCCAACTCAGAAACAAAGATGCAATCGCTCAGACAAGAGCCAATACCTTTACAGGCGAGTAATAGGCTTGGTGAATAACCGGAAGTTACACATATTACCCATAATGTTCATCATTCCATTGTCAACTGAGGCCAAGTGACTTCCGCGAGACAAAAATAAATAAATAAACGGGAGAAAAAAAAGCGAGGAAAAGTCCCTGAAAAAATCGAGCGAGTCATCTATTAGAGCCCACCAGACCCCCTTCTTTCGAATTCCACACGACATTCGCGTGAAATGGCGATCGAATCTCCCCGCAAAAGTGCCACCCGCCGACCTCATCACTTAACTCTCTCCATTTTAGCTTTTACCTTTCTCTACTTCTAATCGAGTCGGTGACCGTGCAGAACCGCAATGCACACCGATCGCGCAGCGCCATGGATGGCACCGTTTAACCGCGTCGGCCCGGCCTAATGTCCCGTCCTGGCCACCCGACGTCCGGCGGCGTGAGAAGCCTTTTGTGTTCCGCCGCCGCAGCCACGTCTATTGCCTTCTGCGGCCGAGAAAACGGCAGCCAATGCGCAAGTATAGTTGTACACCAGCAATGGGGCCGCTTCTTCCGGGTGCGCTCCCTTGCCGCCGAGCAATCTGCGCTTGACGCGTTGGGCGGCATACCAAACTGGGCCAAGACCACGTGCCCGCACTACGGGCTTCGCCCTCCGGCTTTCTCACTGTCTCTACTTCTCCATTTCATGTTCTTTTCAAGCATAGACATATTCTTTCGCTCGGAGCCTTGCAAAAATTGCTTCTTCCTTCTTTATGACTTCAATCCTCTTCTCGCAGTTTGCAAGAGTGACGACTGGGTGAGGGAGCTAGCTCCTTGACGAAGGTGTACTTGATGAGACGTACAAAGAGGCAAAGCGCGTGGTGCTGAGTGTTAAAAAAGGAAGAAAGAAAAGAGCGTCCCATTAACTGCTGGTCGTAGGCCGAATATGAGTCCGCGACGACGCGGAACCGAGGTTGACGGAAGCAGGGATGGCAGAGGGCGGCGAGAGTGCAGGGAAAGAAAGAAAGAAAGAAAGAAAGAAAGAAAGAAAGAAAGAAAGAAAGAAAGAAAGAAAGAAAGAAAGAAAGAAAGAAAGAAACCCAAAGGAAAGGAAGGTGGTTGGAGGTCTGTTTCGGGTTGGGAGCCCGTCGAATGAACGAGTTCCCGATTGCAGTGCGCGGCAAATTGGTTTTGCGTGGCCCGCTTTAAACCCGAGCTCCAGTGGCCTTCGGCCGGTGTTGATCTTTCCTTGCGAACCAACTCACGGAGGAGAAGCCGAACCGAGTTCTATGCTCAAATCACGCCCAAGGCGCCGCTCCCCTTCGTCGCTTGACTTGTGAAAAGTGTTCGCTTTTGGGAGAGAAACAAATAATGAAACGATACGACACGTGTGCCGACTCGTTCATCTAAGATGCGGATGTTTTATGTTTGCTTATTTTCGTTTCTTGGACTGCAGTCATGCATGTCTCGATTCACCGAACATATTGGTTCAATGCAAGAGTGTTTAAAGACCGCATTACACAAATTCCGGCGTCGGCGGCGTTGGTTGTGAACGAAAAAAAAAAAAACGTGATGTAAAAAAGATCAGGGCGAAATTTCGATTCCACCTACACTAGCAGATGTATTAACACGAGGCTAAGGGAACATATATGTCGAGTCTGAAAAGTTGTCTTACTACACATTTAGAGCTGCACTGCAATGAGTGTGCATGTACGCCTGACAGTATTATTAACACCACAGTAAATTATAGACATCGTAACCGAACCTTGACAGAGATAATGGAAGCGTAGTACATTGACAAGCTGAAAAAGAAGTGTGTTAGCCACCAATCCGGTACCTTACTTGAAAAAAAAAATCGCTGCCGTCTCCTCTTAATTGAGCTTGTGATAACAAGTTTTGCTATGTGTGCTGTTCATGAGTTTTTTTTTTTTACCAGAATGCGCAGATCTGAGGGTTTTTAAGGAAAGGTTTAAATAAAATAAATAATCCAGTCGTCAGATTGCGCTCGTTTGTGTTTCTCATCTTTTTCCCCTTGTGCTTGCGCGTGAGCTTCAAGATAAAGAAAAAAGATCAGGGATTCGAGACAGGATCAAACCCAGGCGTTCTGCGTTGCAGTCATGTATACCCTACCAGCGAGTCACGCTACGTAGCGCTTAAAACTCCTTGGGAAGTAAAACTTGCACCGGCGTCATATACTCGGAGGTGTCTCAATAACACATGCAATGTTACGTGGTAGAAACGTACACTCGCCCCAGGCGTCCCACCTCGTCAATTGCGCAACGACTGGATAATTTAAATGGCTATCCATCACAAAGCAATCATCGTCATGAGGTACAGCATCAATCTGCATTGTGCGCATATTATCGTAGTGGGTACTTCACAGAATGATGTGTTGTGGCGTAGCGAGCACACTGTAAATATAATATCGAATAATTGTAGCTTGTACGAAGAATTCGCAGAATAAATTATTTCAAGAGTTCACCCACTACTCGTCCGATTCCCAGCGATACCCAAAATGCAATGCAGAGTCCCAATTCTCAATTTATAGACGCACAGAGCTGACCCTTATTGCTCCTTTAGGAACGAGACAGAAACTATAACATTTCTTGTATTTACTAGATCAGAAATGAAAATTTACTAGTCAAATTAACCGCTAATAATTTTACATTAGATCTTTGATATTTGGGAGGTTACGCAAAAAAAGTGTGAGCTAAAATTATGATCCATCATGATTAACGCTACATTATATTTGCATCTGTAACCTATATAAGCACTTAAAATATTAATAGCAATAAATCTCTCTGGGTGGGCATGTGCCAAATCATCCATGGAGCATCATCAACATCATCATGAACAACAAATCGCTGTACGCCTTCTAGCTCAGTTTGAAGAGTCCAATATTACGGGCACAGACGTTTATTTCTTCGCGACACGGTTGAGATGTCCACGAATAACCAAAGCACGACAAGATAACGACAACGCGATTCGAATGGCGCTCCTTTGCGCTGTCGTGTTTCACTATACTGAAGGCGAAGCTCAAGCGTGTTCGAAGACTTGAAGAACCTTTCGACGTGTTCTCGTAAGTGATGCACGTTCACTCGGTGACGCCGCGTTGCTTAAGTGGGTGGCTACATGCAGCGGCAGCACGCCGTGCCACCACGAGCTTAAAATTACCGCTGCGCTTACAGAACATACGTTAAAAATAAGAACAGCACGTTAGATACGGACAAGCCTGTCTCTCTGCACGAACTACCAACATGCACAAGTATATCTTCCCTTTTGTAGAAATGGGTTGCATTCTTCACAGTTGCGAACGCGTAGTCGAGTGAATATTGTAGTAGACTTCTCGCTAACCAATGTACCTTTTACCTTCTTCCAGGTCCCGACTTCTGGGGCCTGTTGAACCCGGACTGGAACCTGTGCAGCAAGGGTCGACGTCAAAGTCCTGTCGACCTGAACCCGAACACGTTGCTCTTCGACCCTCACCTAAAGCCCCTGCACGTCGACAAGAGCAGAGTGAGTGTGGCAGTATTGAAATGAAGGCACTGTGCCGTGTCGCCTGTAGGCAGACAGAAATTAGGTGCCTTCTTCCTTTTCCTCATGAACCACTAACAACAATATTGAAACGACGACTGTTTGATGTTTCTTTCTCGACACCAAGCGATATTAGCTTGAGTTGTGATACAAGCGTTCTTTCACTCTCGTGCGTCACGACACAATGTTAATACCCACGATCCAGTGTGCCAGAGCGTCTATATTAAAAAGAAATTGATCGCGCGTTTGACATATATTTTGAGCGTAATGTCACACGGATAAGCGTCCATCGGCTGTACGCAAGAAGTTTCTCGACTAGGCGAAGTACGAGTGCAGGCACAATCACGCATCCACTCATTTCATGGACCACGTTCACCGGATCAGGGTACTATGGCCACAATAATAATGATAACTAACAGACAGTAATGTCAAGAGAGTAAAGGGCTGTTGTGCCGTGCACATCAGTTAAGACACATCAGTGATCATTCATTCCTCATCATTTATTCAATCTTGATCGTCTTCGCTGAGGCGGCCACCGAACACGTGCCATATCATGGCGCTACAGTCGGCAGTGACATACGCGCTTTTGTGAGAGCAAAGAAAAAAGAAAACGTTTCCATCTACAAGGCAGTCCTTAAACTTCTGTGGTGTCTTCCTCTTACTCGTGCTGCTTCTAATGGACACTTGTGATCATGACAGACCAGTTGAAATTCACGTTCTGTCTGCAGTGGGTGGTTCAGAAAAGTGGTCATTTGCATGATTTATTCACTCCTGGCGTGCCAGGACGCGATAGATCCCACACAGCTGTACCAGAAGATGGAGCCGGTGACCAGTTCATGACAGCAAACGTGAAGGAAGTAAAGTGGGCCAAAATTAATTCGCTGCCCGCAGAAACCGAACGCGCAACCAGCGAAGGTGGCGGGTTCGGCCCCTGCAGGCAGCAACTTATCTTTTCGTCAATTTCACTTCCCATTTACTACATCATAATTACTATACAAATAACATCCCCCATGCTCTCCGTGCGCTAAGTTAGCGGGCGTTGCGGACTTGGCGCTTGCGTGTGGACGAGTTTTAGATTATTGCGTTTGTATACCGCAAACGCTAACGCATGCGCGAGTCGCCGCTAAGTCACTTTGCGGGCCGCACGCTACAGTGGAGATTTTCTGTGGGGTACCGCAATCACAAACCGGGGTTAGCGTTATGACCCATGCGCAGTGCCAGAGACCACAACGGATAGCGTACGCAAAGCTTTGCGTACGCTCATTCGAAAAGAAGACCAAGAAAAACGGGACCTTGAAATTATCCGTGTCTTTATTCGTGACAAACATGAGTGGATCTCTAGAAACCAAGAAAAGTGTCAATTTTAAAGACACGTTTTTTTTTTGTTAGACACGGCATTAATGAGAACTAACACACAATACTGCCAGGGAAGGTATAGGGGCTGTTATTTGAAGTAATTGTAATGTAAATGTGAACGAAGAAGAAGTGGAAGAAAAGATGACTTGCCCCCGACTGGATCCGAACCTGTGACCTTCGAATAACGCGTACGATGCCCTACCACTGAGCTACAGTAGCGGTCATCTCCTTGTCTACTCTATAGGGTATATTGGTACATAGTTACACGACGCAACAGAGAGACTTAAGTCTGAGCCTATTGCAATGCAAAACGACCGCACCACCCATTTCACTACAGTGAAGCTGGAAACTAACCAAGCCAGCGGATGCGGTTGTGTACATTATCGGAAGCGACATCTCGCCGTTATTGTGGCGGGCACTGAAGAGTGTACATCCTAACCGTGCGTGATGTGAAACTCTCGAAAACACGTGCAGAATGCGTGAAGAGTGCGAACAAAGCAACGCATTTTCAAGGCAGTTGAAGGGGGACAGCGGAAAGGTGAACATTCGACTAACGAGTTTTCTCCTCTCATTCACCGGCAGCGCCCTCCACACACAGCGTGGGTTTCCTCTATAGGTGGAGGGGGGGACCAGAGACGAAGGAACGACGGGTACCTCATTTTGTCTGCGGGCGCGATTAGCCAGAAGCTTTATATACAGACAGCTTCACTGCACGACAAATATTTCGTTAAAAAATTTCAGAAAGTAAGTAATCTCATACAGATAGTGGTTACGTATTCGGACATTCTCGCACACTGAACAGCCCGCATCAATAAACTTTTCTTACGTGCACTGTCAAGTATACCGCGAGGAGCTACATAGTACGAATATGGAAGCATCCATTTCCTCTTTTGCAAATAGTTACTTCCACCTCGCAAAAAGCCTGTGGCTACTCTACGCGTCTTCCTTTTCTCCGTTGCCGGCGTGACAAACTTCATGAAAAATTGTGGTCGACATCTTTTTTCGCTAGAGCAACAACAAGATCGAAAGTGTGGTCAGGTTCTTTCTTCTCATACGACGTGCATGCAATGTTCCTTGTCTCCACGAGAAGGCCTCCGAGTCAACAAAGGAGAAAGTTCGATTCTCACATTTTGTTCAACCTCTCGAACAACCACGTAACTTTCTTTTGTATGACAGGGATAATCTCTTTTTGTTTTGCTTTTGTTTCGCTCTTATAATGCGTCTCGTGGCCAGCCGAGTAAGGAGACGTCTCATTCGGGCCAGCTCAAGTGAGCGATCACAATTTCGCGTGTTCTGCCGAGCAAGGTTGATCACGTGCGCAGACGCCGCCATACATTAAGGCTCCGTGGCGAGTCCGCTGTCGACGAAAAGTTGTGGAATGAAAATTTACGCGTGCTTTTGTTCTATCCAGACAGTCTTCGCTATATATCTCTGTAGGTCTTTGCTCATTTTTTTTTTACACAGGCTCTCGCTCATGGTTGGACTGCTCGCGAAACTTCGAAAAGCTCTCGCGAGATATATTATTTGTATGTGTGATCGGGTGCGCACGAGCGACGGAGCGCTTTTGATCGGTAGGCCACAAGCACACAAGCACAGATCAGAAAAGAGAAAGTACTCAATAAGGATCACGCAAACCAACGATGAGAGGTGAGGCCTAGTAGAGCAAAATAGGGGTATAGCTTGAAGCTAGGACAACCTGCGCCAGGTCGCCGACCACGCTTCTGCGGTGCGTGATCACGAAACGTTGCAGCTACGAGGTTCTATACAGACACTTGTAGATTTTCGCACTAACACCCGACAATTCTTGTCATGCTCACGGACGTTGACCTCGCGTTTTTTTCTTTCTTGTTAATATAAGAGTTCAACTATTTGCCTTTTTTTCTATTCTTATTTTTTTCAGTCATCACTCTTTTTGTTTTTGTGTTACATGGTGGCACATAGTATAGCTCACTGCATGCCACGCATACGACACTGCAATCACTTGTATTTCGCATCACTTCGTTTTGCTCTAATTCTGCGTAGAAAGGTGCACTGTCTCATGAATTGACGGATGAGTAATCGAAGCTGCAGTCGCAATTACAGTCGTGTTCCTGGGTGCGCAAAACTTGTGTCCATCTTTTAGACACGAAGCCACTCTTTGACTAACGGGTGTAACGCATTACGTACGTGTGTTCGTACGAACGGGCCGCAAAGCGTTTCCCTCACCGCAGGTGCTGGAGCGGTGTCAAGTAGGCCACGCCGCAGCTGCGCGTTGACGTCACGAGCTTGCCGATGAACATGCGAAGTGTGTTTAGGAGTGACTGAAGAAGTACGACGATTGCTTCGTGTTCTTCAGGCAGCTGGTCAGTCATTGATTCAAAGTTCACTATTTGTTAACTTAGGCATTTGCTTTGCACTCGCGATCTTATCGTCCTTGACTTAACATACCTGGCAGACGATAGCCCCAGGCACCGGTGTAAAAACTCGCTCAGTCTGAGCACAAATGGGGCGGTGACTTTAGACTATACGACTCAAACATGTAGAACGATAGTGATCCAGACTCACGTCGTCAGCATTTTGTTTTGTAGGCCTGCTCAGCGTGCACGCTTATACGGAGAAGAAAAAGGTGTAAACATGTAGGATACAAATAAACCAACCGTGTTGTCGCTCTGACGTGCATTCGGATGAGTCGACGCACGGCTGCAAACACTGCCACACGTGCGCGTGCGCCATTTCACGCGGCGCGGTACGGCGACGTCTGCTCTGCACGTCGGTGCGCGCCCAAGCCGCTTATTAGGGGATACTCAGGGCGCACGCAAACCTCGATCCGGGTAGTCGTTTCATTCGGCCATAGTATCATAGCCAGATCCGCGCTTCCGATCCAAAGCAAGCGCCCGTTACCCAATGCCACAGAGAAACCGATGACGCGAAAAGAGTTGGGAAAGAGAGAGAGAGAGAGAGCGACGCCCTGTGCCTCCTCCGGCACCACCACAAAGTTACCGCGCATTCACATATGGTTGGAGCAGTTGCCCCGAAGCCCGAAGACAGACGGGGTGACAGAGGGCGCTTCGCTTACAGCTATCCTCCGCGTTCTCCGCGATTTTCAAACAGCACCCTTTACCTCGCGACCCATCTCACGACTTCTACTACTTCGCCTGCTCCACCTTTTCCGCCTCCACCTTCTGTGCCTCCACCCCCTTTCGCGGTGGACGTCGATGTTACATGCGATGTTATATGTAACCAAAGGGGAGACACCACGGAAAAAGATGAAGGTGGGATGTAGAAGGGAGGGGACACGTTTGTCGTGTCTCTTTCCGCACAGCAGTTTCGCTCCCCGATGCCGATGCTTCCTCATTCATAATGCATGTTGCCCGATCGCTCGTTCAAGATGCATTACGCTACTACAGCTCGAGAACGATGGTCCTTCTCTTTTTTTCTTTTTTCACCCGTTATCGCCCTTGTGATATGCGCGCCGCGTGAGAAGGCGGAAGCGCCATAGTTGTCTTTCCACAACAAAGCTCGGAACGAGAAAACAAAAAAGAAAGAAAAAATAATAACAGCTGGAGAGAAAGAGAACTCTAGAAACCAGCCTGCTCTCCATCTTAAAGCCACTCCGCACGCCAGTGTGCCCCCCGTTACCTTTCGCC